TTATATATTGTTGAAAATAGAGATATTAATTGTCCTACACATTTTAAAACTGAAACAATCCTGTTTTTCATACTCCAGTGTTAATAACATATAAAAATATAATTCTTTTCAGAGAATATTGCTGTCTTCCAGAATTTTCTTATCTCATATTTAAGCTATTCCCCCTACTTCTTGCTATCTATAATAATAAAAGCATAATATGCTAATTAGACTGGACAGCCGAATGACCTTCCGGAAGTCATTCTGGATGAAGCCTTGCAGCGGGGGCTGAGGCAGAGGTGGTTAGGGGCGATCAGGCAGGCAGGCGAGTGGTTAGGGGTGATCAGGCAGGCAGGCAGAGCAGTTAGGGGTGATCAGGCAGGCAGGCGAGTGGTTAGGGGTGATCAGGCAGGCAGGCAGAGGTGGTTAGGGGCTATCAGGCAGGCAGGCAGGCGAGTAGTTAGGAGCAATCAGGCAGGCAGGAGAGTGGTTAGGGGTGATCATGCAGGCAGGCAGGCGAGCCATTAGGAGCCAGCAATCCTGGATTGGGAGAGTGCAGGCCGGGCTGAGGGACATCCTCCCCACCGTGCACGAATTTCGTGCACCGGGCCTCTAGTTAGAAATAATAACACAAATAGTTTTGCTTTTTGTTTTTTTATCTTCATTACTTGAAAAGGGTAAATTCTCAGAAGGAAAATTATTAGACCAAAGGATGTTTATTTATTTTTATTCTTAGAGAATTTTTGGTAAAGAATTTCTGTAAGCATGAAGTTGCCTAATCAATCTTAGTTGATATAAATGCTTTAGTATATTCATTTTTTGATAATTAACAAAGTTTGAATAAAAAAATAACTACATTTATTTTTAAAATTCAACAGCATTCTCAATATTCATTTGAAGAGACAAATTTCAATAGAAAAGTAAAAGCATGTTAACCTGATTATAAGGTTTGTAATAAAATACATAATGTCTTTTAGGTTCCATCTTCCTCAACTTAAAACAAAAAGGAAAAACCACCCTATTTAGCCCTTCCACACCTCACAGACTCAAGTCCAATGTCAACTGTTTGGCACATTCCCACAGCAATTCCCTTAGGTGCTGAGGACTTTCAAAACTCCTACAGCAGCAATTATATTTAAACTTAGATGAGAGTGGGGAAGAGGGAGAGATTATTAAAGAAAAGATGACAGCCATCTGCTCTCCCCTTCACAATGATGAAAAATGAAGAGGCAGAATTAAAAAACATTTTTTTTAAAGGTTAGACTAGAGGAAATTTTGAAAGCAGTGTACTAAAAGGGCAGGTCAACAGATATTGTCTCACTGACAGCTCATTTACATCTTTAGGATGAAGTTCTACCTTATTTATACTCTAAGGCAGTGGTTCTCAACCTTCTGGCCCTTTAAATACAGTTCCTCATGTTGTAACCCAACCATAAAATTATTTTTGTTGCTATTTCATAACTGTAATGTTGCTACTGTTATGAATCGTAATGTAAATATCTGATATGCAGGATGGTCTTAGGTTGAGAACCGCTGCTCTAAGGGATAAATGAAATGACATTTATATATTTTCCATTGTTTCACTCTAGTCACCTCCCTGCCAAAATTCACCCTTACACAGAGCTGGTTATAAGTTGCCTATGAGGAGGTTAGTACTAAAACTAGGAATAAAATAGAATCTCAGCCAAAAATTTAATCTTGAAGAAGGAACTTTTCCTGTCTATAGCTCCCATTTCTATAAAATATCTGTAAAATACATATGATGAGACAGAATGGTGCAATAGTAATATTATGGCTGATTTTCCGAATCCTCATGCTAAACTAAATCCATTAAGTGAAACATTCTAACACACTCTCCATATACAACATAGAAAAATAAGGGTTATTAACCAACAAAGACAAAACATGTTTAAACAGAAAACTTCCAATAAATTGAACAGTTTTTCTTTTTGTTAATTTGTTTAGTTTGTTAAATAAGTCAATTATCTACAGAGAACATTTAGTTTCCCCTTGAATCTCCGTAGTTTATGGAAAATCCCATTAAAATAGATTATATTATATTAAAGTTTCTACATAGTTAAGCCAGTAAAGATTTTTGTCTCCAGCAAACTAATGAATAACCTCAAGTGCAATATCTAGTTTTAATGAGTCACAAAACTTTACAATTAAGTTTTCAATTTGAAAGCTCTGCTTCATATTTTCTTTGTTTAATATACATGGTTTTCAGATAGGTTTGAATAGCTCTGAACTTTTTTTTAAATCAAACTGGATGCCTAAGACTAAGAATATAGAAACTGCAAGAAATATATATTAGGAAAAAAAGGTATTTTGAGCGTTCTTGCCTATTTTTTATAAACCCAGTGACTATTTAAAGTCATTGTCTCAAGCCCTAACGCTATTTCTCTTTGGACTCTGTATTAGAAAGTATAGGGTTATGCACTTCAATAAGAGATTCCATCCATCCTTTACACTGAAAGAATCATTGATATTAGTATATGTTATTCACTACTGTGAGAATCACCAAATAGCACCCTATTAAGTCAGCTAGAGTACATCAGTGATTCTATAAAAATGACACTGACAAGCCATTCAATTGACAAGAACTTCCATTTCTTATAGAAGGCAGATTTTATGGACATGAATCATGTAGCCTGTATATGTAACCAAATGCAAGTTCAGCATATTCACAAGAACCATATACTCAAGTTAAGTGGTAAATGCCGTAACATTCAAAATTTCACATGGCTTCTTTATTACTGACACCTTATTATTATGAAAATCTATTCCTTCCTGTAACCACTGGCAATATTTCTGACACAGATTCAGTACAAAAGCATCTAGAATCATGGAACCATTTTAAATCAATTTTTTAAACATTGAGGCCCAGTAAGACTTGCCATGAATTTGAAAGGGAAAATAAGTTTCAAAAAAAATAGGAATGAGACAAAAAAGGAAAACTTTTTGTTTCCTATGTAAATGGTTAGTCCAATTTTTTACCATATTTTTTAAACTGGTCATGATTGGGAGAGACTAATAACAGAATGATGAGGACAGAGGGGTGCCATTGCCAGTCACATCCACTTAGCTGGACAGAAAAATATCAGTGGAGACCAGCATCACAAGACAAGTGGTAGCTGCATTAAAAAGGACATTAACACCGCCCTGACCAGGTAACTCGGTTGGTTAGAGATTTGTACTAATAGGCCAAGATTGCTGCTTCAATCCCTGGTCAGGGCACATACAAGAATCAACCAATAAATGAAGTAAGTGGCACAACAAATCCATATCTCTCTTTCTCTCTCTAAAAACTAATAAATAAAAAGGACATGAATACAAAATGCTAAAAGGAAATAGTTTTATAAACCAAATCAACTTCAAACTATAGATTAAATTAATAATATAATAAAGATCTTAATAAACCAAGCATTTCTACCATAAATACTTCAAAACACAGAGCCATAAAACAAAGTTTTTAAAAACTAATTCTGATCCATTATTTGCTTCTTAAAAAGAAAGTTTCATTAAAAAAAATATTATTATTCTTTGTTTCTTTAATGTGAAATAATTAGATTTATAGAAAGTCCCATGCATTTTTCTCCAGGGACCAATGTTAACATCTTACACAACTATAGCACAATATCCAAAGTCAGAAGTTGACATTGATGCAATCCACAGCTTAGTCAGATCTCATCAGTTACACATGCACTTATGTGTGTGTGGCATGTGTGTGTCTATAGATCTATAATTTAATTACCTGTGTGGCCTTTGAAAGGTAACTACCACTAGGATCAAAATACTTAACTATATCATCACAAGATTCCTCCTTAACCCCTTTACCACCACTATTCTTTTCTACAAAAAAGGTCAATCTATTGTCCTATTTTAGCCACTGTAACCAAAATAGATACTTTTGCTATTCAGGAGTAGAAAATAACCTTGTGTGAATTTTCTTTTGTATACAAGTCCTAGGTGAATCCAAGGTTAAGAAAAGCAAACAAGTCAAGAGTAGGGAAGGTGAAAGGCAGCTCAGATGATGGTGTTATCTGACTACCAACAAGAAGTGGGTAATGGGGATACATTTGCAGCGAGTTCTAGATAATAGTTGATATAATTGCCCCAAATCGGGTGTTACACAAGGTAGTCTAAATTCCCCAGCAGCTTCCTAAAATATACCAGATTAGCTGAGAAAGGCAAAAGAGTGTTTACATATAAGTTTTCAGAAATCATAGAGTACTTTTATTTCATAACGGTATATTTAAAACATGCATTTATTAAGTTAAATTGATCACTTAATAGTAATATGGAGCCCTAGCCGATTTGGCTCACTGGATAGAGCGTCGGCCTGGGGACTAAAGGGTCCCAGGTTCAATTCTGGTCAAGGGCATGTACGTTGGTTGTGGGCACATCCCTAGTAGGGGGTGTGCAGGAGGCAGCTGATCGATGCTTCTCTCTCATCAATATTTCTGACTCTCTATCCCTCTCCTTCCTCTCTGTAAAAAATCAATAAAATATATTAAAAAAAATAGTAATATGGATTGCTTGGGCTTAAAAAGTCTACTATACAGCCCTAGCCAGTTTGGATCAGTGGATAGAGCATAGGCCTGTGGACTGAAGGGTCCCAAGTTCAATTCCAGTCAAGGGCACATGCCCGGATTGTGGGCTCGATCCCCAGTAGGGGGGCGTGCAGGAGGCAGTTGATCAATGATTCTTTCTCATCATTGATTCCCTCTCACTTCCGCTCTGAAATCAATAAAGATAAATTTTTTAAAGAGTCTACTATACAATTCATTTATGCATTATTAAAATAGTTGGTATTGTAGAAAAAAATACTTTGAAACCAGAACATATCTATGGACATTTACCAAGAACATCAAAATGATACCATAAATATGACAAGCTTTTGTAAAATGCAGTACTAACCAGAGGTAAGTTCCTTAAACAATTATTGGCAACAGTGAACTATGAAAAATGAAATTAGTCAACTTGATTCACTTTGTAATTCTCTCAACTCTAACACTTACATTCAAAGTTCAGGATCCAGCATCCATTGAGAATCCCAAGCATACATTTCAGGGTACTTTGAACTGTATCACCAGAAATAACAACATGAGTCACTAGAACACAAAAAAAAGCAGTAAGAGAAACAGATACAGAAACCAAAATAATTATTTAAACAGTCTGCATTTTATAACTAGTCTACACTTTATATGTTTCTGTCTGAATTTTCTTCAAAAACAATTTTTAAATTTAGAAGCCTTCTTTGATCATCATTCTGTAGTTGGGCCACCAACATGAAAAATCATTTCATACAGTAAATATCTTAAAGTCACACTAGCATATACCATATTTTTTTCCTTTATTTTCAAATCAAAACTGAGGATTTAAAGCATTACATGCACTACAATTTATTTGTCATTAGCAAACTCAAAAGTTTGCTTTTCTGATATATTGTTCTGTACTAAACTAAGAGCAAAGCTTTAAACTCATTTCCTCACCAAATTAAGCCTATACGTAGTTTATAACTATAGGAAGATTTTAAATTTATTACAAGATGAAAAGTATATAGTGATAGCCCAATGGAGTTCTACAAAGGATTAACCTATTTAAAATTTTTTCTACCAAAAACGAATGAAGAATCCTCACCTGTACTGTCAAACTCAGCACACTTTTTAGCCTTAAGAATTGCTGCAAGCTCACTGAGCATCAGTGATAACCCAATGGAGTTCTACAAAAGGATTAAACTATTTAAAATTTTTTCTACCAAAAATGAATAAAGAATCCTCACCTGTACTGTCAAACTCAGCACATTTTTTAGCCTTAAGAATTGCTGCAAGCTCACTGAGCATTTTCTGTTGTTCTGAAGAAAGCCCACTGCCTATGAGTACAAGAGGTCCATCCCTACGCTGAGCAGCATGCATCTGTGAATAAAAAAAAAGATGCCACAGTGTTAAAAACATTTAAGGACTAGAGAAAGATAATAAGCTGACCTTCACTTGATGTAAGCTTGAATTTCATTCCTTAGCTTACTCTATCTACTAATTCCCAATAATTTCCATTAATTCATCACTCAAAACCTTAATGTTCAATTCATTGAAGTAACTGCCCTTCTCCCCTCCCCATTTAAAATGTTACTTGGGATAGCTCTTTACACTCAGGGCATCTTGTTTCCTTGATTCTAAATTGGATCTCTTTAGGGTTTTACAACTTCATTCTGTCACCAATAAGCTTTTTTTTTTTAAAGTAACTGCAAATACCCATTTAAAATGATCAATTCCCTGTCTCTGCTCCACTAACTTATTCTAATAGAGTTGAACTCAAACTTGGTCTATTTAGTTTAAAATTAGATTATGTGAAAAATAAAATTAAAAAACACTAAGACATCTAGAACAGCAGTGATCTCAAAGATAGAAACACATTTTTATCACTGGAACAGTTACTTTTCAAAACCAAGAAAATGAAAATAGACAAGAGAATACAAAAGTTTGGCCAGATTCACCTCAGTAGTAAATCAATGAAGCTCATGGAAAGGAAAGAAGTGCCATAGAAAGACTTAGAATTGTATTACAGGAGATTAAAAAAGACAAAAATAAAGAGAAGTTACCAATGGATGACATTAGGGAAAAGAATTGAAAGCTTAAAAAAAAAAAGTACTGCAATAGATAGTGCATTCAATAGTAGCCAACCGAAATTTAATAAATGGAATTGGAATCAGAGTTAGCTGAAAGCTACCTGATTTAAAAAAAAAAAAAAAAAAAAAGCAATGATTGAGCACTGAAGAAAACAAAAGATAAACCAACACGAATGTATTACAGGGTAAAGCAAAAAACAGTAGTGCAGTTTTCAAATACAAGACCTAGGGTTTTCCTCCATGTGAGTCTATATGTGTTCTGGACATCTGGCATCTAAAAGCTACAAAGAACATGAGTGAATCACTGACAGTATGATCACCAACACAATTCAGCAATTAGATTAGAGAAAGCTGGTGTTTATACATGCACTTCACCTATCATAGAGATCATTCATCCAGTCTGATGCCCTACAATACTACATCTACATTGTTGGCTACATCTATAAATAGATCTCAATAATTCTTTTTTTTAAATATATTTTTATTGATTTCAGAGACGAAGGGAGAGGGAGACAGAGAGAAACATCAACAATGAGAGAGAATCATTGATAGACTGCCTCCTGCATGCCCCCTACTGGGGATCGAGCCTGAAACCGGGGCATGTGCCCTGACCCAGAATCAAATGGTGACTTCCTGATTCATGAGTTGAAGCTCAACCACTGAACCACACCAGCTGAGTGCAAAGGTACTTTTACTGGACATGCTATGTACATCATACACACATTTACACCACATTCCTGTCCATGTATCTTTCCTATTCACTAAACTATAACATGTTGCAACCATGTCTACCCTAAATACTGCAAACACTCCCTAACATGAAAATAGTTCAGTGTACTCTATGGATTGTTCAATTACTATTCAATGGTAATATTAAAAAAAACAGTTTTTCAATAATTCTTGTCAGTTATACAAATAGGTGCCATAGGATAGCTCTAAATGAAACATTTTACTTTTCAATTTATATAACTTCGCTTCAGCTAAATTAATTCTCTACACAAGAGTGAAAAGATATCAACTCCAAATATAGGACATGCAACTATTTCTACCAAGCCAAGGAAAGCACCAACATGGGTCAAGCCTTTTCCTATCATAGTTTTTAAATTTGAATTTTTTAAAAAAAGAAACTGGCCATAATTTCTCATAGTTAAGAAATTCTATTAAAAACAAACAAAACATAAAGCAAACAGCTGCTAAAGCCACAAGCCTATATGAGACAGGGGTGAGGGGAGAGGGTAGGAGACATTTGGTTTGAATAAGCAGAGGTCTGAGAACCATGAGGTTCAAAAGACATTCAAAAAACATTCCAAGCCCGGCCGGTGTGGCTCAGTGGTTGAGTGTTGATCTATGAACCAGGAGGTCAGGGTTTGATTCCCAGTCAGGGCACATGCCCAGGTTGTGGGTTCAATCCCCAGTGTGGGGCGTGCAGGAGGCAGCCAATTAATGATTCTCTCTCATCATTGATGTTTCCCTCTCTCTCCCACTCTCCCTTCTTCTCTGAAATCAATAAAAATATATTTAAAAAAAAACACCCCAAGGGGTTCAATATCCTGATTTTATAGCGATTAGATACTATGTACACTGGCATTAGACTCTTATTTAAAGGATAGTTGGATATGGAATGTCTTCTTAGATAAATCAGTTATTCTTAAGTAATGAGTTTATCAAAAATATGGTTTAAAAACTATGAAAAGAAGGAAAAGGACAAAGATGTTGCTCAAAGGGAGCATGGTCAGAGACGTCACAATATGAACCTAAAAAGCAGCTTTCTAAGTCTTTAAGCTTAAAGACTGCTTCTCAAATTTAAACATGCTTTCCAACAGCCATTAACCTTTACTTGAGACTAATAAAACTTCTAAATGGGAAGTAGAGAAACTCAACCCCCACCCACTCATCACCCCTTCTTCTTCATAAAGCTTCCTGAAGCAGCTTGCAGAGTTTAGAAATCACTGATTTGAAGGATTTCAGACTCAGCAATGAAGCACTTGTGTTTGTTTCAGGGGCAAGTGTATATCATGAACAACCCTCCAGAAGTCATTCATGCAGGCAACACAAACTTAGAGAGCACTGCTAACTGCCAGACACTGTTCTAAGTAAACAAAAGAGCAAGTGCCTGCCCTCACACAGTTTATATTCTAGCTGGGTGGGGGTGGGGGGGAGGGAACCAACAAAATGATAAATAATGTCAGGAGAGGGGTAAGAAGCACTGGCAGGGTGCTAGTTAATATACTGTAATGCGGAGGTCTCTTTGGTGAGACTACAATGGAGTCCAAACTGAAGAGTAAGGAGCCATTTGGACTTCTGGTCCCACAGTTTTCCCTGACAGAGATAAGAGCTAGTGCTAAGGACCTAAAATGGGGTATGTTTAGTGGATTCAAAAAACTGCAAGACAGCCCATGTGGCAGGAAAAGAATGAGTGAAGGGAGTCTGGTATGATTGGAGGAAGGCAGATCCCAGAACTTAGCTTTTAAGATTGCACATAAAGAAAAATCCCTTTCAACTTAGAACTTATCATTGGTTATGGTATCTACCATTACTATCAAGTATCTACCATTAAGACAGTAAATAAGGATATTCACTGGCCATGTCCATGTGACACACAGAAAGTACAGATTTAAGAAAATCTACATTTAAGAAAAACAATAGTAATTGGATAGTTGAATTGAGAGGATAATCATATTGCTTCTTTCTGAAGAGCATTAATATCCTCAGACTCCAAGAATTTCATAAAGATATCTTTATTTTTGACACATTTAAAATAACATTTCTCTAGCTTTTACATAAAAGGAACATTGGCAAATGACAACTTAGTTATGCTATGTCCTGCCAGAAGAGTTCAAGTTCAAATGAATAAAATAAGTGCCAATTTATAGTTGTTAAGTATGCTGAGACGGAATGAGTACTGGCCTAATAATCTGTGTTCTAACTGATCCATTAAAAAAAAAAATTACAGCTGATTAACCCAGGGCAAATCACAACCTTTCTAGGTCTCAACTTTCTCATTCCTAAAATGAGGAAATTGACCTGATTTCTAGGTTCTCTTCCAGTTCATTACCACTGCCCTTACTAGACAAGAAGACTTCTCTCATGGTCCTAGATGTCAACATAGCCCGTTTTCTTATTTCCCCCATCTCAGCAGTTGCTAAATATAGGGAGTCCACCATCCATCTCTCTAAAACCCTCTTCTCCCCATCCCACCTCACCACCACCACCTGCAGTTCCAGTCCTGACCACTGCACACCTGGGCTCCACCACAACAGCTTCCTCACCAGTCTCCAGTCTTGTCCCACCCCCGCCTACCCTCTGCAGTCCCACTCCATTAAAAACACACTGAAGGCACCGCACTAACCAGAGAAATAAAAGTCAAAACTCCTCCTCAGGGAATTCAAGGCTTTTCACAATCTGATCCCAACCTAGCTCTTCACTGCCAATTCCTCTTTTACACACCTTCCGCTCCTCTCACACTAAACCAGGGGTGGGCAAACTTTTTGACTCGAGGGCCACAATGGGTTCTTAAACTGGACCGGAGGGCCGGAACAAAAGCATGGATGGAGTGTTTGTGTGAACTAATATAAATTCAAAGTAAACATCATTACATAAAAGGGTACGGTCTTTTTTTTTTTTTAGTTTTATTCATTTCAAAGGGGCCGGATCCGGCCTGCGGGCTGTAGTTTGCCCACGGCTGCACTAAACTCTAGTTTCTCAGATTTCCAAGGTCTTTATGCTTCGTCTCTGAGCAGCAGTTCCTTTTATTGGGACTGCCACACTCACTTTGTATAGCTGATTACAGTGGGCAATGATGGTGGATTATTTTATTTAGATTAGCTTATACATTTACAATGTTTCCTATCTCCCATTAAAATGTAAGCTCCTTGAAAATATGAGTTATATCAGTCATATTCACTACAGATAAATGCTGCCTAAAATATAGAGGGGGGTGGGTTCAACAAATATTTGTTGATACATTTATTCCAATTATGTCTTCAAATTCACAAGAGCTAATACACAAGAAGTGCTCAATAATTGTTTTGTGAATGAAAGCAATTTGCTAACTGGAAATTTTTTAATTATGCTTCTTTCATAAACAATTTCAGTAAAAGATATAAATTCCCCAAAGCTAAATCCACACTTACTACTGAGCAATGGCGAGTGGATGATGATTCATTCTTCTCTGGCGGCAGCAATAGCGATTTCATAGTCTTACTGTCTGCATAATCCACAGGTCGCAGACCAAATATGTTACTGGTAAAATAAGTACAAGTAGATTAAGTACATAAAATATGTGATTTGATTCTTAACTAAAGGAATGCACCAGCAATATAATTTTTCAACTTCCTTAACAGTACATTATTTTTACTAAAGAAATGACTCGGAATTCACATAAACTATAAGGATCAAGTATGCACACGCAGCTGAATTCAATGGAAAAAAAAGAGGTGAAACTTCAATTTGACACCAGACAATCACAGGGGGTATTTTTAGTTGAATAAATTGTTAACTTACACATGAATTTTTTTCACAGCTCTGTATTCTTGTGTTCATATTAATATTTTAAATCATTAATCACTATGTGTAAGATGTTTTCAAATGCAAATAAAAATCATTTACTGTAGCAATTATAGGCTCTATCATCTATATAAGTAAACACAGAAATCAGAAATCAAATAAATTCACAGGATAGGAAGTTGGATCCACTAGAAGGAAAACCAATGCCACATGACAAACAACTTAAAGTAGTGACTTTTTAAATTAACTTTAATAGGTAAGTACACTACACTCTGTAATAACCACACCATCACAGAACACACTGGAATGGTTCAGAGAACAAGCAGACTTCTCACCACATACTACCTAATTCACAGGTCACAGAATATCACACTGGAGGAGACTTTACACACGGTATGACTGCTATTTCAAAGATGAGAAGACAGACAGAGGAAGGTCCAATGACTTGGCTTAAGGCCGCGTTTTCCTTGTTCATTAACAGTAATATCCATTATTGCCCATCATTAGTCTTTCATTTATCAGTAAATTCTAAAAACTATACAACTCTTGTCTACTATTCCACTTCCTTACATACGATTTCAAAATTATTTTAATACAATACACCATGGCAGAAGTTTTCTAAAATGAACATTTCTCTTATAATCTTTTATAGTTTTTAAAAATATTTTTATTGATTTTTAGAGAGAGATGAAGGGAGGAGGAAAGAAACATTGATGTCGGAGGGGAACATTGATCAGCTGCCTTCTGCACGACCCCTACTGGGGACAAAGCCCACAACCCAGGCATGTGTCCTGACCAGGAATCAAACCTGCAACTTTTTGGTGCATGGGATGACACCAATGAGCCATACTGGCCAGGGCATAATCTTTTATGGTTTTTAAGATTATCATATATCCATATAACAGCCACTAAAGTTCACGTGAAAATGCAATGTATTAAACAGGATATAAAATTATAAACATGGTATAATACCAGATTTTACAACTGTATTGAATGTGTAGAAAAAGATCCGGAAGGGAACAGTGAAACATTAGGGAGGAGGGAGGAGGAGGGGGGTCACCTCCGATGCTGAATGGAGGGCACTTGGATGAGAGACACACAGATAAGAGACAGAAGCATCTACTGGGTTTAGGGACAAGTCATTAAAGACCTTACAGAAAGTTGTTTTGATGGCACAGAAGGGGAAAAAAATCAAATAAATTAAGAAAAAAATGTTTCTCTAATAACTGCCATCCATGACTATTGGGTTTAGTCACTATTCCTTATTGGGACAGTGCCAGGTAAACACTGATAGATTTGTATTTTTAGAGTCCCCTTTGTGCCCAGGTTCAGGTATGTGTAACCTCTCTCTGGCAACAGTCTTCTTCCGACGAGGTATACGACTATCAATTACACTTCAGCTTTCTGATTTACAACAAGGTGACACACATCTCTGTCCTGGAATTTGCGTCTTCACAAATTCCCATATAGTTAGAGCAGACAATCTCAGCTCATTTCAAAAGTAGCTGATCTCATCACTACACTTGATACTTCTCAATTGCATTCCCTAAATCATTATGCCCACATGTCAACTTTCTCTTCACAGACATACTCTGTAAATATGACAATCAAAAAATAGAAATCAGAGTTCAAAACCAACATTCCAGGTCTTAAATCACCAAGTGCAAAACTGAATAAAAAACAAAAAAAGTCACAGTATATGCCATCAAAAAAAATCACTGCACACATAGACTTTTTAACAAAGACAAATGTAGAATTTATACTTCAAAGAAATAAAATGTAAGAGCCCAATCACATACACTTTAATGCATAATAGCTGTAGCATACTTACTTTACATGATACAAATCAAGTCCACAGTAACAACATGAAAAAAATGTTAATGAAATTACTTCCCAAAGTACCTGACCATCGGCTAATGAGGGCTTTAACCCAAAAACTAGCAAATAAAACAATGGTCTCATAAGATGCTTTTACTGTCTGAAGAACTGCTTCATTAATGACTAGCAGGAGTCTAATTTATGTTTACAGTCCTTTACACAAAACTTACTATTTCATCTGGTCTTTAAAACACTGTGGTTACTCTACTTAGATTGTGATTGGTTTCTACTTATACATAATTCACTAGCCCTTTAGCCTTTCTGTATTATCAGTGAACTAGAGAATGGCACATTACAAATGCTAGTCTGAGAAATAATTGGTTAAACCTCAGCCCTGTATAATGGGAGATGGAACCTATTAAATCCTCATGCTTCTGTGATGTTGTGACCACTGTAACTTGGAGTTAGACACAAGATTTTAAATGAAAACTTCATAAACCACTGCAAGAGAAGGCAGAACATATGTAAAATTTCTCCTTTTTATTATAGGGGCACAAAAAAGTCATAAAACCTTTTTCCTCCATGTTGATATATTTGAATGAGCTAACACTTTGCTTACAGATTTTGAGTGAAAAATCAGTTTAAAATGTTCATAACTAAATTTATTCTTTTTTAAAAAATAGGTAACACAAGGAGGAAAAGTCACATGTCACACACAGGGACTACCAATGTGATTGTTTTTTAATTGAAGACAGTGATAAATCTGTTATTCTCCATTACTACACAGGGAAGATTTTTTTTTTTAGATCTGCCACAACGCCATGGACTCAGACTAAACATCAATAATTTCATTAGACTGAGTTCCTAAGGGAGCTTACAGAGTGAAATTTTTCAAAATGTTCTTAAATATATTTTCTATTTTCTGACATACTTTAACCTAAAACCTAACATGTAAACTAGGTATTTTGGAGAGATACATAAGACTTAGAAAATATTGTCCTTGCCTGTAATCTTAGAAGAGATATATTCATTCAACAGATAAGTATAAAACTGACAAAGTATAAACCAAAGCACAAGTAATGAGGTGAAATATGACATGCATTCCAAAGAAGGTAAAGAACACACATTAGCAAATAAAATGGCCTTAAACCCAGGACTAGAAACTGGAATTTGGTGGATGAATGTGAAGGGCCTGTGGAGGGAATAAGCACTATGACTGCTGAAATGAATGGAATTAATGGAAGAAAGCCTTCCATCAAGGCTGAGGAGTCTAATCACTGCACGCTCATGCGTAGGAGCCAAATATGATATGGAAAATTGATGAAATAATCAGGCATGAAGCAATGGGCATTAGAGACAAAGACAGCATGTAGCTGTGAAAATGGAAAGACACAAGCATCTACTAGTTAAGCTCTTTGGGCCAATGTAACACCAGTATAATGAAGGCTGTGCTCAGAATGTGGAAAAACATCAGCATCTTCACTGTTGATTTTACACGTAGTGCATGACAGTCTATTAACACCTGTCACATGCACCACTTCTGACAGTTCAGTTCTCTTAATGCCCTTTCAGAGGAAGCCTCTCGGAATTCAGTGAATTCCAAATGGTTACACAGATAATATGCCTTATCTATACTAAACCCTAAAAATTGTACTTTTCTGGTTATTGAAACATTACAGGATCACTAACCAAGAAGATACCGTTTTGATTCTGATTTTTTTCTGTTCCTTCACAACATAGTACATTGGCAAATTTTACCAGTTTTTTTCCTCTAATGTGTTCTTGCTCTATTCCTTTAGCTCAGTGGTTCTCAACCTTCTGGCCCTTTAAATACAGTTCCTCATGTTGTGACCCAACCATAAAATTATTTTCGTTGCTACTTCATAACTGTAATGTTGCTACTGTTATGAATCATAATGTAAATATCTGATATGCAGGATAGTCATAGGCGGCCCCTGTGAAAGGGTCGTTCGACCGCCAAAAGGGTCGTGACCCACAGGTTGAGAACCGCTGCTTTAGCTGTTATCATAATTTTGAACATATATTTCATATGAAACTTTTAGTGATTGAAGATTTTAAACTTAAAGTCTTTGCAGAAATCTAAGTGTTCCTAAGTTATTGCTTTTTGCCATCAAAAGCTACTAAGAAATATTGGAAGATCATTGCTACTGATATAAGTTAATAGATTCGATGTAAAAACGGCTGTATATATGAATATACATACACATAACATACATATACCAGAACTAGCAATAATCATTTAATTATTATGTACTTAATATACTCAGAATGAGCACATGTATATAAACATGGGGGTTATAAATATCATTTGGTCATCAGCTTGGCAAATATTCATTCAACAAGGAACTCTAAGAACTCTTTCAGTCACTAAAGAACCAATAAGCTTCTGTCCTCACAGAGCTCGGTGGGACAAAGCAGAGAGAAACAAATCGGAAGGACTTAAAACTGGTAAAACTTCCTAGATGTGAAAGGAGACGGAAAAGAAGGGGATAGAGAAGTAGAATACCAGTATTCCAGGAGAGAGGAAAGTGCAAAGGCATTGGAGAGAGCTAGTGCGGCAAATTAGAACAACAAAAAAAGAAAGAGAAAAGCAAGAAGACAGAAAAAGAAAAGGGATAAAGAGAGCAAGGCACACAGAGAGAGACAGAGAAAGACAGAGAGACGGAGACAGAGAGAACGCACATGGGAAAGGTGTGCTCTGGAAATGTAAGCTGTGGCCAGATTAAGTAAGAACAAAAGGGTGGTATTAGAGTTGGACTTTATCCTAAGGACAGGAAGAAACCCTGAATAGCCAGCTCTCTTAATGGTCGTAAGCAGACAGAATGGCATCAATAGAGTATGGAAGATAGAGCTGGGGTCACAGAATCAGATGGCCTGAATTTACATGCCATCTCTGC